CGCAGCCCCCCGCGGGGGTCTCTGCGCCCCCTCCCCGATCCCACGCCAGCCACCGCCCCAGTCCGCGGGCTCTGAGTCCCACTGGGGCACCCGGGTCTGTGCCAGGCAGGAGGAGCAGACCTACCGTGTTGGTGCCGATGAGATCTGCTGTCATGGAGAGGGAGGTGACCAGGATGGTGGCCGAGCCAGCCCCCAGCAGCACGGCCGCTCCGTAGATCTCTGCTCCCATCTGCTTGGCCAGGGCCACCCAGGAGGCAAAGGCCAAGATCACCAGGATGCCCACGAAGTAGGTCAGCTGCTCGGGGCAGAAGGGAGAGCTCAGACCCCGGCTGGGCTGGGCTGAGTGGGGGGCCGCAGCTGCCTGGGACGCAGGGGGCCAGCCCTGGCTCTAACCAAGGAGCCCCCAAGGGCCTTGCAGGGGTCCTGGCTGTTTCTCAGTGCTGGCTACAGCCAAAGAGCCGAGTGCCTGGCAGCACTGCAGGCAGGGTGCCCACACAGGGCACAGGGCCCCAAACTGGCAGCGGAGCTGGGAGCTCAATGGGAGTGGGGCATACTGTAGTGTGGAGGAGGGGGCTGCAGACCCCTGTGCCTGCCCAGGGCAGCTGAGCCAAAGCCTCTCATGGGCACCACGGGGCTCTCTTAGCCCAGTCAGGCTGCACAAGAGGCTGACTCTGGACCAGCATCACTCTCCCCATCATCAGAGGGGTGCAGGATAGGCCCGTGCCCGCTCGCCCTGCCCACAACCCGTGCCAGAGGACACACGAGGGGTCCCTGCTCTCCAGCCAGGCACAGGTGTGCCAAGCCCTCTGCTCACTTGTGGGGTCAGGATCTGGACCCTGAGCCTTTCCCTGGGTCTAGCTCAAGTCTCACCAGGCCCCCAGGACTCACATTTCGACCTATCCACTTATTCACAGGCTTCATGAGGAAGGAGGAGAGGAACCCGCTGACGTACATCACCAGGGGGATGGTGGCGATGTATTTCTGCAAGAACAGGTTGGAAGTGAGCTCTGGATCACCACAGGACCCCCTCCCACACGACCCTGACAGGCAGGGACCTGCCCTGTGCCCACCTTGCCCCCAGGACTCACATTTCGACCTATCCACTTATTCACAGGCTTCATGAGGAAGGAGGAGAGGAACCCGCTGACGTACATCACCAGGGGGATGGTGGCGATGTATTTCTGCAAGAACAGGTTGGAAGTGAGCTCTGGATCACCACAGGCCCCCCTCCCACACGACCCTGACAGGCAGGGACCTGCCCTGTGCCCACCTTGGGCAGCAGCAGCGAGTTGGTCAGGTACATGGTGATGTAGGTCTGGGACAGGTTGACGATGAGGCGGGTGGACATGTAGAGCACTGCAACCTGTGAGGGGACAGAGACAAGGCAGGCCTGATCTGGGGACAGAGACAGGGCAGCCCTGCTGCATCTGTGCAGACTGGAGGTTGGGAAGGCTGGCATCTTCCACACCCAACCCCATCAGGGCACAATGCCCACAGAGAGGCACAGTCCCCCTGACGTGGCGGGTGGGTGCCCAGTACAGCCCATCTCTCTGTCCTCACCCACACCAGGGGCACATCCTGGTGCCAGAGGGTGCCCACAGCAGCAGGGCAGGCCCCTGCCCACAGCAGTACCTGGTAGAAGGCAGGTTCCAGCAGCCAGTTCTTCCAGATCAGCAGCGGGCGCGGGGGGCTCGAAGGCTCCTTCTGCAGCAGGGGTGTGCTCTCCTCCAGCTGGGGCAGCGAGCCCGGTGGGTACGGCTTCTCTTTGGTGCCCAGGTGGAAGATGAGGGAGAACAAGGCCCCCACGGCCACCACAATGAGGGCCAGGTTCTGGGTGAAGCAGACAAAGTGAGCGTAGCAGGAGGTGCCCTTTGCCCGCCCATCCCTCACCTCCCAGCAGCCTGGTGTGGAAAGAGGGGGTTCCAAAAACCCTGGGGCGCTGCTAATTCAGTCCCTCGGGTACCTCCCCAGCTGAACCACGTCCCGGCCAGGGACGAGGGGACACCAGGGACGGAGCCCTGCCCCTTACCCGGAAGATGGGGACGTCCTGGATGCCGAGGTGCTCGGTGCGGTCGGGCTGGTCCACCTGGAAGTTGAGCAGGAGCCAGGCCAGGCCGTACACGGTGATGTTTGCCATGACAGTGAAGGCGTATCTGTGGGGAGACAGCACCTCAGGGGCCTGCCCAGCCACAGGGTCCTTCCGTGGGGCAGAGGGACACGTGCAGCTCTGGGCACACAGCAGGGACACCTCGACCCGAGGCTGCTCCAGCCAGCTCTGAGGCACCTGGCCAGGCCCAGCCTCGCTGCTGCACCTCCCAGCACACCCAGTCCACGCCTCAGGGCATGACTGGGAGGAAACCAGGAACCCTTTGGCTCAGCCTGTCCACCCTCCAGTCACTGCTCACCCCAAGGGTGCCCCGAGCTGCCCAACCCCGTGTCCTCAGCACCAGACCCGAGGTTACCCCAGAGCTGCCCCACATCCTCCCTGCCCCTGCCCAGGGCAGTCACCCAGCCCTGCTCCATCTGCTGGATGGAGCCCCACACGCTGCCCAGCCTGGGGCTGTCCCCACCCTGGGCTGGGCCCAGCTCTCCCCAGGAGCATCCAAGAGGGGGGGGTCTATTCCCCTCCTCTGAGCATGACCCTCCCGAGCTGAAGGAGAAGTGTCCCCAGCTCAGCAAACCATCTCACAGGCTGTGTCACCAACATCAGCACATTGCCTCCTGGCACTGAAGGGTCTGGGCCAACCCAGAAGAGCAGTGTCACTTGGACACATCCCACAGGACACCCACACGGCCCAGTCCGGGTCCTACCAAGGGCTCCAGTGTGCTGTGCCAGACCCCCAGCACCCAGGGGACCCCTCACCACAGAGGGGACAGGGCCTGGCACGGGCAGGGCTGCACCCCCAGGTTTGGGGGACACTCACCTGAAAGCTGTGAGCTCCACCTTCTCATGATCGTTGGTCACCAGCTCGGGGATGAGGGAGAGGTGGGAGATCTGTGTGGCTGCCCAGCCAAACTGGAAGATGATGATGAAGGGGAGGTAGTAGATGAAGACTGCCCACTGTGGAGTGTTCTCCTGGCAACCCAGGCAGGGGTTGAAGATGAAGGGGAAGGACACAAGGACGCAGGTAGTGCCTGGGAAAGGAGCAGAGTGATGAGGAGCTGTGAGCTCTGTTTTCTGGGGACACCAACAGCCCCAGCTGGCTCAGACACAGAGGGACAGAGCCAGCCCTCTGCTAGGACTGGTGCTACCCCACAGCAGGGAGGGAGGTGGGACCCCTCCCCCAGCCAGGAGAGACCTGGTCAGGTGAGAGGTGAGACCTTACAGTGACCTTCCAGTACCTGAAAGGGGCCTACAAGAAAGCAGGGGAGTTTGGAGTGACAGGATGAGGGGCAATGGCTTTAATTAAAAAAGGGGAGATTGAGGTTAGACCTTAGCAAAAAGCTCTTTAATATGAGGGTGACAGATCCCTGGAATAGGCTGCCCAGAGAGGTGGTGGAGGCCCCATCCCTGGGGACATTCAAGGTCAGGCTGGATGAGGCTCTGAGCAGCCTGACCTAGCTGGAGATGTCCCTGCTTATTGTGGAGGGGTTGGACTAGATGAGCTCTGGAGGTCCCTTCCAACCCAAACATCCTGTGAGACACACGGAGCCCCAGACCTCTCCCTCACCCCGTCCTGCACAGGGTGATACCCAGTGCTGAGACAGACAGACACTTGCCAGCAGTCTGTTCCCCAGTGGAGTCCCCCCCAGGGAGCACAGCCCCTCCCTGTGCCCCCCAAAACACCAGAGGGCAGATCCTCACAGCCCACAGCCACCAAGGGCTGCTCTCCCATCTCCAGCCTGCAGATAACCAGCCCCAAGGACTCACGCTGCCCTGCTGCCTGCCCCAGGGTGATAAGGTGTCCTTGGGGCACAGGGACAGCCCATCTGTCCCCTCATCCCCTCACCCGTGGGGCTGGCAGGGGCAGCCACGCTCCCCCCACGCTGGCAGCAGTCACCTGCAGAACGACAGCCAGGGACACCCCGAGTGCAAGGGGGGGGACAGGAGCAGACCTGCCCCCCACGCGGGGCTCTGAGCCACGGGAAGGTCCTCGCTGAGCTGGGGACAGCAGGGCCAGGCTGCCTGCAGCAGTGTGACAGCGTGGGGACGCCTGCCTGCAGCAGGCAGGGACAGGCCAGCTCCTGCCCCCCACACAAGGTGACAGAGCACATCTGCTGAGGGCTGCACCCGGGGCCCAGGCGCCAGCTTGGAGCCACCACGTGTCCTGTCCTGAGTGTCCTGTCCTGTCCCACATGTCCTGAGCTTCACTGTGGGCCCCCCCAGAGCCATGGCAACGGGGTCCTATAGCCCAGGGGAACACGCAGCCTCTGCACCAGGTGCTCGAGCTCCTCTGCTCCAGGGCACTTTGCAAGATCCTCCTCAGAAGCCATTTCTCCTCCTCTCACCCGTGCACTGCACTTCCTC